ATGTAAATGTTTGGTTTTAATAATGTGGTTTCATTGAAAAAAACAAGCAGTTTTGTGTGCTAAAATTAATGCTAAAACATATAGCCGTACAGCGTTAGCGCCCAAGCTAATACACAAGTCAAAATTGAAAGAAAAACGAAAAAGAACCAATCTTTTTGAAAAACAGAGCAAATACAACTAGCCAATCAGCGTTTATGCTTTAGACACGCCTACTCTTGTGACACGCCTATCACGTGATTTTTGCACAACGAATCAAACGCTGACACTGGGCCTTAACGCACACTCATATCTTTGTCTTCCAAACGCCATTAAAACAACAAGAAGAAGAAGAGCCAGAGGAAGTGTTACAAACTAAAGAAGAGAGATTTCCACATCTTTACAATGTTTACAGCAAGACTGAACTATTTTTTCTTCTGAAGATGTTTTCTGGATTTTATTTCTATTCGTTTGAACGTTTTTTGATGGGATTATTGACCAGTTTCAGCTGTAAACCTGTCAGACTCAAACATAAAGCTGTTTTTATCTTCAGTCTGTTTCCTGGATGAAAGTTTAAACTCTTTATTATGTTTGTAACAACATGTCGGTTTGGAGAAGAGCTGATTGTTTGGGTTTGGACACGAACAGACCTCAGAACGATAAGATGTGAAGACGCCATTTTTACAAGAAGAGATCAGACTTTTTGATGTTACAGCGATGAAAAAAAAACACAAATTCATCAAAGATGTTTTTCTTTCATAGTTACAAGGTAAGTTAAAAACATTTTTAATCTCTAGTTGAATGCGGATTAAGTGTTCTTGATGCGTTCACTTTTCAAATACATCGTCAATATATCAAAAAGTAAATATGGTAACACAAAAAGAGCGAGAAAATAGCAGAAAATAAATTTCTATATAAAGACCAACTTTAAAAATCAGTAAGTCTCATGAGGAACAAGGTTTACTCTCAGCAAACTGGAAGTGCTGGTCTTTCGTTTTTAATGCAGACATCCAGGCTGCAGAGCTCTGAGTCATCTTTATGATCCCACATAGATGGATCAGAACGTACAACCGGACCTGCAGGACTTCCGTTCATGTTGACGCTGCGCGGGGGGCGGAGCCTGTGAAATTCACACATTCTGCATATATATAGCAGATTCCTGAAACCGGCAGACCAGGATCCTCGTGCTGCAGATAGGACTGGAAGTTACGGACAGACTGCAGTTTACATCTCACCACGATAGCCAACATTTTTCCTCATCACTTTGAGTCAGGTAATGCCAACCTGTCTAAAATTTAATTTCGTCACGAGTCTTGATCAGATTGTTGTCTTTTATTTCCAGTTTTAGTGTTTTCTTGAGCCTTAGCACGCTAGTCAGCGTCGTTGCGAAAAACCTTTAATGAAATTAAAGTTAATTTTCAGTTTAACATATGTTTGCGTGGAGCTGATTTTTTTCCCTTAACGTTACTCAATAAGTCGACTATAAATCTGAAATACACTCTTTGTAATCAGCTGAGCAAGCATCGACAGACACCGCCGAATTAGCATAACCGGGTAATAGCAGCTAACAGGTTACCTCTGCCTCAAAAGGAAGAAGGTCCTAGCTTCAGCTTCGGTTCGGACCCGTCCCGAGGTTTTCCTCTAAGTGTTTTCACTCAGCACGGTCCGGCCAGGCTTTTAACCTGGACTCGGTGTTTAGTGTTTGCGTGATAACCTAACGTCAGCCAGCTGTGTAAGCTAGGTAGCTACGTTATATTTCAGTCCGTCCTCCCACCCTCCCGCACCCCTGCCTGCCTACCTGTCCAGGGTCGGGTCTTATGGAGGACCAAACCTATCATAATGGGAAATAAATGTAGAAATATATAAATGTCTTGAAAAAGTAAATACATGGCTAAATAAAATAATAATGTGGCAAATTTAGCAACCAAACA